GACGATAAAAGTTCTCGCTTGGCTCAGACCACCATAATTAGTGCAACTTTTTCAAATAAACATATCATATAGTCAGTATGTGAAAATAATTCGTCTTAATCCGGCATAGTTTGTGCCGTGTGGAAGCTGATAAAAGGCACCCCGTACTTTCAATCAATTATGTTATATTTCCGATCCTTAAAAATCGTTCGACACGACATGATTGTTATGTTTGTGGTATTTTTTACTATTTGTTATTTTCTAGTTTGGTAAATCCAATATTTCTATTTGAATAAAGTTGAACCACCCTAAGGATATGTGGCTTGCTTTTTAACTTTGTCCTTTGACATCTAATATGTTATATGCAGGCTTCATAACCTCTGATCCCCTTTCAAAATTCCATTCTGATTAGTTCCGCCAATTGTCTTTTTTCCTTTCGGGCACAGTTGTTTATTTACTACGGGACCATACGCCGCTTTTAACGGAATGGCACGAAGTGTCACATTGAAGGTTGTATGATAATCGCCGTTTGAACAAATCTGCGAATGTTTCTGGTTGACAGTACCGTCCATGAACAGGCTCAATCAAACTGAGTCTGCAACATGGTCAATTTTGCCGTTTTGGGGATTTCTTAAAGGATTCTTATTTTCTCTATTTTAGAAAAAGATTTGCAACTTTCGATTTGTATCTTGCCTAACTCAATAAGTATTCGATCTAGAGTAATGCAACTTTACAAGACTGTTGGTCAGCATGTGTAGTTGTGCATCTGCGGTTAGGCAATATATTGTATATCGTTTACGCTACAACCTCTTAGGGTAGGGGTCATGTAGACTTTCCTTCTCTTTTATACTATCCTTCTTTACATCAGAAAACAGTAGTGTTTGGGGGCATCCATACCTTATAAACACATTGCAAGTTACGTGGTTATAGTATATGTTGTTATGCACCTTGTCGTGCGTCTGTACGTCTGTTTGCATTTTCGTGTCCGCTCTGTACCTTTTAAACTAATGGAAGGAAATTGATAATACTCGATAGATATGATGTGCAGAGCGCAGACTGGAGCATTTTCAGGCCAAGGGAAAGGACAGACTCTCAATTTCGTGTCTGCTCTGGTTTAGCAGTTTAACATTCGAGTGATTGGCGGAAATTTAATCTATTTTGCAGCAGTACCGTAAATTCCTTAGCGTTTCAGTTGTTGTTTTTTAGTTGTTTCTTTTTTAACAGATATTAAGAGTAAGACGGAAGAAGGAGAAGACATGTATGAGAAACATAATAGTACTGGAAGTTTATTGTATTGCATAGGAGATAACAGATTAGTTTTTAAGCCCTATGAAGAGTGTACATATAGGTATGTTATATTTATTTATATATTTCTTTTTAATTGTACCATTGTTTTAAGGCGCTTATGTTTAAGTGACGCTTACGTGCAAATGTTATAATACTACTTTATACGATGTATTAAAATATTTTGGTCAAAGGCATCATGCTAGATGAAATATTAATTGATCATAGTAATCTCGATGCTTATCAGCCTGCAAAATAGTGTGTTATTATTTACGTTTTGTAAATGTGGGATGCGACTTAAGCTGTTCCTAAGTTGTGTTTTTACTTAAAATTTGTGTATGGGTTCAAACCTACATAGTATATTTTGAGCACGATAAACAGAACTTCCGTCAGTTCTTAAAATAAAAGCACAACCTATGAAAATATAAACATAGGTAAAATACTAAGTATTTCCGTTAAAGCTATATACATAGTATTTTAAGACTGGTCCTATAGCTGCATTGCAGCGCATAAATCCGAATTCGTACAGGCTTTACGTATTATGTTTCCGACCTATATTATCCGAGTGTTTGGACTTTAATAATATAATCTTAATTCAATATAATCGGTTTATTTAAAAATCCGTCAAATTTACAGTATATTGAAAAAGGAAAAGGCGTGACATCGACCATTTACCGCAACGTTCGGCGTAGTTACCCCCTTGATATGCTTATTTTTTCAATCAATTTTTTAAGTACTCTCTTACTGTCCCAATTTTCGAATAGACTTACATTACTAATAATTACCCTGAAACCTACCCAAGGACTGAGTAACCGTGCTAAAGATTTGAGTTTTTTCCTAGGAGAATGAAATGTCTGTTACATCTAAATGATCTTGTATCGACCATTTTTTTTTTTTCGAAAAATGTCCCCAAATGTGATTAGGCCCCTTTTCACTGAAACTTATTGCTGATCACACAAATGACAGATCCTTTTTTAAAAATTCGAATAACCGAATGAAAAATTATCGACTATAATGCGGCCTTAAAAGCGCGATTTAACTATAACATTTTCAGATACTGGTGATATACTTTCCCCCCGAGATATTGCATTATTATAATAGTGTATTGAGGTTCGGGTAAAAATAGTTTCTGGCAACACTTTGTCTTTTAGAACATTTTTTTAAATTTTCGATTACCGATGGTTACTTAACTTTTGATATTCAGTTTATATGCATTATTTGATTTTAATGTCAATGTTATTGGTCTTAATTATGCCAATGACCGTTGGCAAATTCTTAAATAGAATGGTCGTATGTATGTTTTATGTGAATATTTGTATATATGTTTTAACAAAATGTATGTATACGAATTAGACAAAAATAAGGTATGAATATATTGTCTAAGAAAACCAAGACTTCAAAAGTAAATCCTATACAATCATGAAATATGAAAATCTTGGTGATAAGAGGACATTTTAGAGCATGTTATTGCACATCATGTTACATTATCGCGCATTCAATGTACAGTACAAAAATTTAAAGATGGGAGATTATTTGTGGGGAAAACAGGTAGATGTGTTTTATTACGGTACAAGTAGTTTAGTATCTTAAATATGTTTTTATGCTTCGCTTGTAAGAAACTTATATCTTTTAGTGCAAAGTCCATAGACAACAGCTTAGGAATTCGACCAAAAGCATTGCCCGATAGTCCTTTAGATCTTTGCGTGTTTTTGTCTTTTTGATGACATATATATAGGGATCTATATTTTTAGTCTCCTCAGTAGCTACAGAAAATATATAGAATCTAGCAATGCCTATCAGTTATTATTATGGCCCTTGGTATAAAATGTCTGTATATTAACGTTATTCATTGCATGGAAAACTTTGATGTTTCCAATTAATGAATATCAGTTGAGTAGTCCTCGTGCCTTACATATTAATTTATGAAGCGTGTTTTAATATTCTTTTCCGTGAAAAGTAACCTGATAGTTGGCAACGATATCGGGAACACAATTCTTAACAAAATACAATGAGTAATGAAGCGTAGCCAAAGGGGAAAAACATATGCCTAACGTGGTATATATAATTCCGTAACATTTGACCAATCTTAAAAGTAACAAAGTGTGTTAAATCGACAAAAAAATTTTGAGGCCATACACTCTGATAATACTAAAAAGAGGAACATTTTAGAAACCGTTACACGATCGGAAATATGCGCCGCAATCTGCGGTCTCGTTCCCGAGCTCTTATTGTTAAAAATAGCATGTTATCAAAGTTTGCTTCAAAACGTTACAGATTATTTTTTCATGTATCAATTAAATGGGGAATAACAAAATTTTGTATCATAGTTTAGGGACCTTTCTGTTGAAAATATGTCAGAGTTTAATCGTATACGAACAGGCATACATGTACAGTGCGTTAACTTAAATCCAGGTATTAGCTACCCGCACTCCAAAGCATACCGATTTGATTGTCTTGTATTTTGCTGGGGTTTACTTTTGCTTTCTTGTGACAGCAGAGAAAGGAATAGCAATACAACTTTCATATATAGATGCTCGTTCATTGGCTCCTTTAATTCGGAGTCTTAAGCAATAAATGTTTTTATTTTCAATATTTCGGCTCCATTTTTACAAACTTACTCAAAAGTTAACTCTTGGCTCAGAACTGAGACATTTTACAACTAAATAACTGAGGTTTTACTCAGTTAGGTTTTGACTCAAGTTTTCGAGAAAAAACTGAACTTTCACTTTAATGTTTTCTCAGATGTTTTTGAAACAAAGGTTTGACTATCTAATGTTATCTCTCTGTGAACTTTAATGTGATTTTACCCTATGTTTAAACATAAAAAGGAATAACCGTACTTTGAACCTGGTTTGCAAAGAATAAAATGCCCTTATGTGCCTTTTGCGCCTGGAAATTTGCCCGTTTCATCAACATGTAGTATTTTAGAATATATTACTACCATGATTTCTCCGATAAATTATAAAAGATGTTTCTCAAATGAAGTTTTTTTTGTATCGTTTGCATTGATTTATATAAACAGACGATATATCAGATGCAATATTTTTATTTGACATATCCATAAGTGAAAATATAAAATTTATTAATGATGATTCAAATTAGTATTCGTGATCTTACATACAAAACAGAAACAAAATATATCATTCTATTAATTTCATCCTTTTTAATAATTCCGTAATTTTGTTAATTTTGTTCTGTTTACAGTGACATTTTTTTCGATCCAAATATCAATATTTTATTTCATTTTTATTGTGATGCTCCACCGTTTGTCGTTATCAATTTCTTAAAACCACATCTTCTCTCGAACCAATGACTGCACAGTAACGAAACTTTACACGAATGATTCTTGCGTGATCCCCTGCAAAAGTAATTTAAATTGTTACGGTCTGTTGCATAAGTAGGTCACGGGGCCAAAAAAGGTGTCTCAAAAATGCAAACTTAAAAAGTCTTCTTCTCTGTAAGTGCAATGCCTAGAGTTTTGATATTTCGTATAATTATGATATTATCTTTAGGTCCTGTGCCAATGTTCAAATTTTGTTCGTTGTGTGGAAATTGGATACCCTTGGGGTTATATATATATAAATTTGAATATATATATGTATTACATGGCGTGTCTGACTCTTAAACCCCGATAAACCATTTTATTTGTTCAGACGTCGCATCCCTATACTTCACATAAATGATTTAGTATTGATTCATTATCAGACAGATTAAACATATTTTTGGTGTTATTTCTAATGGAAGATAGCTTTAGGCAATGTATGATAGCAGTCCTACATATATATTCAAGGCAGAGGGGACCTGATGATCGCACTGACAGTGCTGATGTTGGAGCCAAAAAGCATAAGATAATTGTAGTTGCCATTGAAGTTGGCAATGAATGGAGCGGTTACGCATACTCCTTTAGTAACGAGTATCTAAAGGATCCTTTGTGTATAAAGAGTGCCAACAACTTGAATTACGGTTTGGGTAATTTGTCAGTAAAAACTCGCTCTGTCGTGTTATTCGACGAAAATCAAAAGTTCCATAGTTTTGGTTTTGGTGCAGAGGAATTCTATTCAGATCTAACTGACGAGTGTAAACACCGCAAATGGTTTTTCTTCAAATACTTTATGATGAAATTATCAGGAAGACATGTAAGTAAAGTAAATTTAATTTTTAAAAGACATTATATCTATTTTGATAACAATTGTTTATTTCTATTTTGAAACGAAAAAACAAGCTATTGAATATATGTACTAAAGTTTGCTACATATGAACACAACAATGAAAGCATTGAAATAAATATACATATAATTATAGTGTCTTATGTCAATTACAACGTGAATCTATATCAATATACAAATGTAAATGACTAATGTTATGGAATCGCTATTAAGTAAAGCATTCCGTAGATGAATTAATTGGACAACCCTGCATATAACAGAATAACTTGCTTGAAATTTATTTTTTATTAAATACATGCAACTTGGAATATTAGAGTTCATGAAAACATATTTTTGCTTTGCATGTAAGAACGAAATATATATCACATAGAGAACATCAGATAAAATATTTCCAGAAGTGAAATTTAAATAATAATACATACAAAACAAACAAGATTCCTAAAATCTTATTCAAGAAATACAAACTGAAGTAACTTTTAATTATATTGTGCAGCATTACGATATGCGCTCTCATTACTGACGTCATCAAACTTAAGCATGACATTATTTTTTTTGTTGTTGTTGAAAAACAATTGAATTACTTTTAGATTGCAAAATAGTATGAGCAGATATTCGTGTGAATCTTTAAATCAGGAACATTGTACTCACGAGAGCGTGTGTTTTTGGAGATTCCTTTATTTAATTAAGTTTTCTTTTCGTCTGCATTTAGAAACATGTATAGTCTGGCTACTGTGAAAATTTAATTTAAAAAAAATAATTGTGAAATTATCAACATTTATTTAATTTGCTAGAGAAATACATATAATAAAAAGGACAATAACTTCAAGGATTCCAGTTTTTCATTAACACAATTTTAATATAGATATATCCGATATCTATGTATGAAGAGCAGCTTAGGCCTGAATATGATTGCATTAAAGCTTGCAAAAGCAAACACATAAATACAGGTATCCGAGATTCGCGAACGTTTCAGTTTACAGGCCGTCATTAAATAGCTATTTCGTTCTCTGTCCTTTTAACAGATAACACGGAACATAGAGATTGAAGATAACACAGGCAGAAAGATGAAAGCTATTGAAGTTATTGGTCCCGCTATTAAATATCTGAAAGAGCACATGCTCAGTCTGTTAGAAAACAAACAAACGGAACTACATAATAAAGACATACACTGGGTTTTGATTGTTCCTGCTATATGGACTGACTCCGCTAAACAATTAATGGGAGAAGCTGCATATAAGGTGAGACCACCTTTATATATATACATATTGGTATTTAAATAGGAATTCTGCTTAATTGATATTAAAAATATATTTCATCTATATAAATTAAAAGGAAGCAGGTGCATCTGTAACAACTTTTGCATAATTTTGTCTGTGCTTCGTTTCGTGAAAATCGTAGGGATTTCTGCCTAGAGACTAGAAGAAAAAAAATTGATTATAAAATGACAATACGTGGGGTTCGAACCTATGAGTACAAAACACTAAAAGTTACAATAATTTCGATCTACCGGCAGAGCCATAATTGTAATACAGTAACACCAATGATACTGTAAGAATATTTCTATACAGTATATGTAACTGTTTACTTTTACAATATCGGATAATAATCCAAATAACCCTTTTTTTTTACTTTTTGGACTGTACCGTTAAGATCAAAATATTATCCTTGGACAGTACTTTACCAGTTACAAAATTTATTTATCATCATGTTAATATATATACCTGACCAACGAGATAATGGAAAAAAGGCCTACAGACAAAGCGTCGTATAGCCGAACAAGACGAATACTTTTTTTTTCAATACCGGGACAGTTTGCCAACTATTTGCAAATTATTTTCAGAAATACTATCGTCAAGAATTCAACATCCTTAATAATTGTGTGGCTGCAAATTTTTGTTCGGTACGGATTTCAGCGTTGTTCAGGTTATAAAATAAAAAAAAACTTCAATTACATCAAATCAGAACCGGATGAGCGCCCAATTATTTGAACTAGAGATAAATTAGTTTGAATAAAGACAATCTCCTTAAAGTAGGCGGCAATATAACACATCATTGGAATGTCCCGAATGACGATGAAAAACTAACATCATCCAGTCAAATTTTTATCATTATGACATGCCTTGTTTGATTTACCCAAATCTTATAGCGTGGCAAACAGCGCTATTAAAATGAATCAAAGGCTCTAAGAACTGCATTAAACATCCAAACTTCTGTCACATTTAAAACGTTCACCAATCTGCTTACACTGTGAAGAAGCTGGAAGACAGCGCTACCAACATTACTTAACCATTGCCCTTATATAGACGTGTTTTTCGTTTGATAATTGTTGTTTAAATAAGTGACCACTTTTTCGGCGCCGTCCCCCTTCAAAATGATACATCACGGGGTTGCCAGAAGGGGGATGCCCCCCTTCTGTTTGGGGGATTGAAAGGGGGTGATTGTCCTCCTCATCACCAAGAAATTTTTAGACATGTGACGGGCTTAATATTGCCTCAGGTCGATTTTAGGGTAACTAGTAACCGACGCTGAAAAGCCTTTCACTCTATCTGAATTCATTGAGAATTTGCAGCACTTTAAAATCAGTTTTGATGGAAAGAAACAATGCAAACTGGTGTTTTTTGGCAATTTTGAGACGTCCCGCCGTTGCCATTATAACAGGAAATTTACAATTGAGCATGCTGTTAAAGAGGCTATGGTCTAGTCAACATATGTGCCAAGTTTTATCAGTATTGAAGCATTTTACATAGTTTCATAGCAGTTTGAACTTGCTACAGGAGGCTTTTCAATGTAAACGGCCATTTTTCGCAATATGCTTATGGAGTAAAAGGTTAATTAGAAAAATAAAAAGTGTCCAAAAACATAAATTTTTCACCAAAGTTAGGTGTAAGGGCATTTGTTTACATGGAGCATTTAGTTTTATGGTAATTTGAAGGTGTTTCATCTTTTTTTGTTAGCATTTTCCCTTATATAGACGTGTTTTGACGGCTTTTTGGCCCGAACCTTTTTTGAGGTCTCAAACAGTAAACAAAATGCCCTATTAAGGCCCAAACATTGTTTTGTGTTTGAAAAATGTTGTTAAAAAGTGACAACATTTTCGGCGCCGTTCCCCATCAAAATGTTACATCAGAGGGTTGCAAGAAGGGGGATGTGCCCCCTTCTGTTTGCGGGGGTGGCGTTGAAGGGGGCGCGACGTCATCCTAAGAACGCAATTCATTCACAAAAGGGGCGCAGCAATGACGTCATTTAAAGCACGCTACTTATCTTACATAGGGGTGTTAGACAGAGTTTTCTAGCACCGGTGTAAACAGTAGATAATCCTGTCTGATATGCAAGAAAAAAAGAATCTGAACATCTCGGGTATTATCCAAAATTTGCTGGAAAAGGCCGGGAAGATTCGATTGTACAATGTTAATATAATACATCCTGAACAAAAGTTTGAGAAAAAAATGTAAAATTCTCTTGTTTTTTTAATATTTAGGCTGGTATTGCAGAAACACAGTTGACAATTGTCACAAAACCAGAAACAGCAATGATATACCACCAAACTGAAAAACAGATAAGGAAATTACGTACTGCCGATCTATGCATTCCTGGGACAAAATGTATGGTTATTGACCTTGGAGGTATGTACTTTAGTAATAAAGGATGGAGAAATAAATTTGATATATTTTTTCCGTTGTTTTGCATCAAGGCCGAATTGACTGCATAAGAATCCCTGATCTTTAGATGTCTATGTTACATGACTGAGGGGAAAGCAGATATATTTTATAAATAGTTAAAAACAACAACATTTTTTACCAACATAATAAGTATTCGAAATAAAACTACTAGGGGGAATAATCATATTGTGTCATTTCAATATTCAGTTTTATGATGCTGCTAAATTTAAACGAAAACATCTTCACTGTTATTTGATAAGACACCGATATCTTAAACATACATCTCTGAAGTTAAAGGTAAAAACAAAATCTCATTATTCATGAAAAGATATTGAGATATTGGTGATAGTTATATTTGGTGCTTTCGACTATTGAATGTTTTAAAGCTGACTTTTTTAGGATGTATAACTATTGTGGCGACTGTCATATAATTTTTACTTTTGTTGCGTATAAGTCGCGACACTGTTTGGGGTTTCAACAATATTTTAAATAAATTGATACAAAAAGGAAAAGTCTGTCTTTTAACTTTGAAATGTACGAATAATCTTGAACAGCAAGAATAACTAGAAAAGTATCGAAAAGCCACGGATGCCCCCGCATGCAGCCAAAATTTCAGATGTTATAATATTTAGTTCCAAATATTTTTTACACAAACTTTTTTTTTCATTTTAAGTTCAAACCCCTAAAACTATTCAATGTTAACACCAACTATTTTTATACAAAGTTCAAGGCACTTAAACTATTCAGTTAATTGCATATTGCATATGTGTTGCCAAAAAATGACTAAATACATTTCCACAAAAGTATGAGTGCTGAAACTGGAAATTCAAAATTTTTCCAACATTCAAGAGAGACAACTTTGTCCAAAATCATTGAACCACGACCATATTCAAACTTGAACTGCTTATTCCTAAGATGTATCTATACCTCAAATTTTAGTTGATAGTGTACAACCATTGGGGAGATAATGAACGGAAACTAAATATTTCTGCTTTTTTCAAGTTGAATAAGTTCAAGAGAGATAACTCTATAGGCTATCAACAAACCGTGACCAAATTCAAACTTGACCAGTGTATTCTATGTTAAATTTGAGTTGAATAAGTACAACTGTTGGGGAAATAATGAACGGAAACTGAAAAAAAATCAAATTGAAAGGGGCATCACTCCGCCAAATATCATTAAACCATATCAAAATTCTAAATTGTACTGCTTATTCTTAAGATGTATCTATATTTCAAATTGGAGTTGAATGTGTGAATGTGATTAACGTTGGGGATATAATGTATGGAAACTGAAAATTTAATCAAGGGGCATAACTCTGTCAAACAATCTTTGTATCTAACCAAATCGAACTTGTCCTGTATTTTCTAGTTATATATCCGTATGTCAAATTTGAGTAGAATGTGTGCAACCATTACTAAGATAATGAACGGAAACTGATGATGACGGAATGACAGACGGATGGAAGGACTGAACACAATATGTCCTAGCCATTTTATGGCGGGGCATAAATATATAAATATAATTTTACATTTTACATCTAATATATTCATTTATCAACTAATAATATTGTTTTCACAGTTTCTATTATTTTCAACAGGTGTATCTGTTAAATTTTCTTATTCTGTTTTATACTTTCTCTCTCTCTTTTTATTTTCTTTCTCAATGTTCTGAACTTTTAACATCTTTTTCTGATTTTCCACCCGAAAATCAACTTATTCATCTCTGAATTATAATACACCCTCACAACGAAGTTTTTAGGGGGTATACTGGAATACTAGGTATACTGGGTTTACTGGAATCAGCTTGTCCATCCGGCCGTCCGGCTGTCTGTCGGTTTTCCTTATCCGATCAATAACTTCAGATTCCTTTGACCAAAAGTCTTCATATTTAATATTTAGGCTGGTCATGATTAGTAAATGATTCCTATTGATTTTGAGGTCACGAAGTCAAAGGCAAGATCACAGGGGCCTTGACTAAAAAAAGCTTGTCCGACGAATAACTTAAGATGCCTTTGACGCTCAGTCTTCATATTTGGCTTGGAGGTTAGTCATGATTAGTAGATGACCTCTATTGATTTTGAGGTCACTGGGTTAAGGTCATGGGCCTTGACTAAGAAAACTTGGCTGTTAAAAAAATAAAGATTCCTTTGACTCACAGTCTTCTTATTTGGCATCGATTTGGAGGTCACGGGGTAAAGATCAAGTTCACAGGGACCTTGACTATAAAAAGCCTGTCCGCCCAATAACTTAAGATTCCCTTGATCCACAGTCTTCTTATTTGGCTTAGGGGTTAATCATGATTAGTAGATGACCCCTGTTGAATTTGAGGTCACTGGGTCAAAGGTCAAGATCACAGATGCCTTGACATATAAAGCTTGCTCGCCCAAAAACTTAAGATTCCTTCTTTTGACCAACAGTCTTCATATTTGGCATGGTGGCTAGTCATGATTAGTAGATGACTCATATTGATTTTAAGGTCAAAGGCCAAGGTCACAGGGGCATTGACTTCAAAGGTTTGTCCGCCAAATAACTTAAGATTTCTTTTTAACCACAATCTCTATATTTGACATGCAAGTCGATCCTGTCAATTAGGTGACCTTTATTGATTTTGAGGTCACTGGGTACAAGGTGCAGAAATACATTCAAATATATTATGATATTATCTTTTAGATAGTTCAATCCAAATGGATACACAAAATATTATATAAGACTAAAATCAATTACCTAAGATATGACACACTCTGCAAACATTATCTGTCTGCTGTCAAAACCCAATGTTTAAAAGCAAGGAAAACGCTCATAAGAAATCAATGACGTAGAACGCATAATTCAATGACTTAATACACATAAACGTAACAAGTACAATACATGTTACAAACATGCCGGTAACTCACAATCAGACAAAGTATCCAATATCTTAAAGAAATTGAAGTTAATGGTACATACCAATTATAGACAGACATACAAAAATTCGGATAAGGTCTACCGCTAGAAGGTAAGAATGCCGCCTCCACTTCAAAGAAGAGGGGGTATATTGCATTGCATTTGTCTGTCTGTCGGTCGGTCCGTAGACCAATTGGTTTCCGAATGATAACTAAAGAACCCTTAGGGCAAGGATTTTCAAACATAGTATGATGATTGGTCATGAGAAGATGACCCCTATGGATTGGAGTCAATGGTCAAAGATCAAGGACACATTGACTGTGTAGGTAAACACAGTTTTCGATCAATAACTAGGAACTTCACAATCTTGGTATGATGATTGTTCATGACCAGCAGACGAATCCTATTGTTTTTGGGTCAAGGAATCAAAGGTCAAGGTCACATAAACCTTGAAGGTAAAAAAACGTTTCCGATCAATAACTAAAAAACGCTTAGGCTTAGGAACTTTAAACTGAAAATGATGATTGCTCATGACCTGAAAATGACCCCTATTGATTTTGGGGTCAATGAGTCGAAGGGTCACCTTTATCTTGTTGGTAAAAAACCGTTAACGATCAATAACTTGACATCCAATGAGCTGTTGGTCCTCAAATTTCGTGAGTGGATTTGACTTGAAAATTAGATGACCCTTATTGATTTTGGGATCAAAGAATAAAGGTCAAGGTAAACCTTGTATGTGAAAACGGTTTTCGATCAATAACATGAAAATCCCATAGCTGCTGGTCCTCAAACTTTGTAGGTGCATTAGTCTTGGTCAGTAGATGACCTCTATTTATGTTGGGGTCATGGGGTCAGTGTCAATTGACATTGCACTTAAAGACGGTTTCTGACGAATAACTCAACAACTCAAGTTACCTTGGATGATATCTTTATTTAAAACTAAGAATGATTTTTGTATACACATTTGAAGGTTTTATGTAATATTACAACAGTCAATTATGAGGCCTACATGATTCATAAAATTTATGCATATATTATTTGATTAGATTTGTAATAGCTTTTTCATAAAATTGCTGCACAAAACCTATGCAGTCACAATGATAAATACCTTGTGACTAATAATGACTAGTAGATAATCCTTATTGATTTTTTTGTTCACAAGGTCAAACGTTTGTCATAATAACCTGCTAACATGACTAATTGGCTGTCGATACGGGGCATACATGTTTTACAAACATATCCTGTTAATCTTGAACTTTATATTTTACAGTAGAAACTTTATCACTGAGAATTGAAAATATTATAAACATTACCCCACCCACTTTTTAATCATTAACTTTCTTTATAGATTCTTATTTCTATATGTAATAAGTAGATTGCATAGAAAAATACTCAATTAAAGAATATGTAAGCATAAGAATTATTTGAGCACCTTTTCCCTGCATGACCACTCATTTCAAAAATGTTGTGTCATCACACAAAAAGCTTGTGTGCCTTTAAAGATGTATGTCCTACATTAGCATAAAATTATCAACTGACATAAGAATAGTAAATAAAGAGTAAAATTACTCTGACAATAGTACAAATTATGCAGATTCATAAAACACATAAAATATTACATAATATAACATGAACACTAACGGAAATATCTTTCAATGGACAATAACAAGTTTAAGTTGTCAATTAAACAAAAATTGATAATTGTAATTCTGTCAATAAAGATTACATGAAATGTGATATCTATATAATAATTATAATAATATTTCCTGAACAAAAAATGTCAATAGATTTTCATTTTCTTTTACATACAATGTAGTAATATTAAACTTCAAAACAAAAGTACGCCCTGAGAGTCTCCTAGCATGCGCATGGTAAGATTAAAGCTGTAATATCTGCGTTTAAAATTATTGTTGCAGTTTCTTTCAGGTTTGGTGTTGGGACATATATTTTGTTGTTGCTTTTTGTGCTTTCAGTATGTGGCTCTCTTGTTGTTTTTTCATTTTTTCACATCTTTGATACTTTTTTAATGTCTTTCATTTCAATAAATACTTCCATAACTATTTCCATTGTAAAAACATCCCTTTTAACAATTTGTTTTCTGTCTTGTATTCTAAGCATTCCTCACATCATTTTTTTAGTGCTGCTACAACATGAGCTTGTTGTTGTAGATTTTGTCTGTTTATCGTGTTATATGATTTTGAGGTAACATATTTGGTGTTAAATAATTGGTCTTTATGTCGGCTCCATTTAACATTTGAGACAAAATATCGCCTGTGTAATTTGATATTGTTTCAATGCCACTCATCACTTCAGCCTGTTGCATTTTTTTAAATATGTTCCCATCGGCTATGCATTATTTTGGTGAATTTTTCTGTACTTTGTTCTTTACCTAGTCTTGTTATTTCACTTTTATTAACTTGATAATGTTTCATATTTTGTTGCAAACTTGCATTTTCATTTGCGATTCCGTTGGTTTCCAACATTGCATTTACTGCAGCTTTGTGTGCTGGATAGATATTTTGTTTAAGATGGTTCTCCAGTTCAGTTTTTGATAAAGTGTCAAATTTACAAATACTGCAGTAAAACTGTAAAATGTTACTTTACTTAGAGATTCGTGTTCACTGTAAAATTGTTGAAGCACTTTGCCTCTCTCGCACATATAAAAGTTAAGTGTGCAGCTGTTACTGTAGAAACTCTTTCTCTCGAGTTGAATGCATCAATGGGTCTTGTGTTGCTGTTAACAAACATTCTAAATTGAAAAGTATAACATATTGTAATTGCTGGGTCAGTTTCGTTTTTTACGTTACACAATATTGTTTTGGTTAGATACAACAATGTTAATATTTAAAAACTCCATTTTGCAAATATTTTAACCATTGCAATACTGCTTTATATTATACACCATATTTATGGTTTAAACATTTTTTTATCATTTCTTTATAATGAAGTTACATACAATTCAAAATAATTATTCAATGTTATTTATGAGAAATTACATGCTTATTTCAAACTTATTAATTTTATATCTTAACTATGTGTAAATCACAATGCCAATATCTGACATTTTTAGTCAAGTAATATTTTATTTAATCAAATGTACATTTATTACATGTTATTTATATTTTACAAATTAATGTGCTATCCTAATTAATCAATCTGTGATAATTCAATTGTCCTATGTAATTGTTGACCAGTATGTACCTTCATATCAAATTAATAATTTTCTAAAACACAAGTCAGATACAATTTAAATCTACTCCTTTACCTTTAAAATCCATTTTGAGTGTTGTTCCCCATAACTATTTAGGTTTGTCATCATGAACTATTTGAGATTTTCCATGTTTAGAAAACTGAACCCTTAAGTTCTGGTTGTTGAATTTATTCATTAAAATGAATGGACCGTTTTGTGGCATTAAAAGCTATGGATGTCCATATTTTTTGGTTCTGCAGATACCAAACTATATCACTATTATTATTATTTGTAAATGACTAATTACATCAAATTCCGCTTTCTGACGTGAAGTTTTGTGATTTAAATTGGCTCTAAAAATTTGATGCACTTTTAGTAATAGTTTCTTTAGATTCTCAAGATATTCACTATATAGCTACCAAATGCTATTTTCGGCTGGTAACATTACAATTTTTGGTGTAAGCTTTGTGCTTTCGTTATGAGTAGCACTGTTAACAGCGGCTTAATATCCCAAGTTTAGTTCTCACGTAGTTTGTTCATTTTTTTCTAGTTACAGGTTTATTAAATCTTTCGGCCTGGCCATTACATGTTGGATTTCTTAATGATGTTCTTGGTTTCTTAATTCAATGTAACTTTTAGTGTTAAGTGCTCTATAAACACTTTACTCTCATAATTTGTACTTTTGTCACTATGAATTATAGAAAAAGTCCCGAATGTAGGTATAATCTTATTTACTATAACTCTTGCAATAGTTGCTGCACTTTTGCTGGCACTGCAAATATTTCAGTCCATTTTCAAATGTTTCCACCAATATGTAACGGTTTTTCCTAGAGGAGTCACTGAAAACAGTGCTAGTATATCTGTGCATAACCTGTCTAAAGGTTCTGCCACTGATATATTCGCAAGTGGTGCTTTGGGTTAGTTGAAGTTTGTTTATTTGCCCCACAATTTTTGCATTGTAATATCCACAGGTTATATAGTCGTTACCCCATATCAGAACTTTTCCCCTGATATTCTTTTGACCAATATGACCAGCTAAAACACCATTATGCATTACATTCATAATATCCTTCTGCAAAAAGCTTGGAACATTTATTGGCAAAAAAAAGACCCTGTTCCATTTTTCTTATCATTTTTCCCAAACAACACACCATTATTTAATTCCAAGGCACCCCAACATATGAAACAATGCCTCTCATTAGGGCCAGATGCACTTACAGTTTATTAACAAAGCTTATATGACCATTGTTAGAATTCACTAGACGGGGATTAATTTCATTTACACTTTTGTGTCATTTAGGATCATATTGGGGCTAAGATTGAGGTTTGGCGCGCATAAAACCGGTTTTAAACTCCCCTGTGGAGAGAATTGGCTGATTTTCGTAGAAAGTATGATGTCATAAATAACCGTGACAGAATTAGCAGAATTCTGCAGAAAAACAGACAAATATATTCAGGGATTGTCTTTAAAACAGCAAATTTCAATTCAACTGGATATACAAAATATTATATAAGACTAAAAGCAATTACCTAATATATGACATACTCTGTAAACATCATCTGTCAGCTCTCAAATCCAAATGTTTACAAACAAACAAAACTCCCACGAGAAATCCATTATGTAGAACGTATATAATTCAATGACGTAATACACATAAACGTTACAGGTATACATAAATGTTGTAGAAATCTCGGTAAGTCACAATCAGACAATAGTCAAATAAATACATACACAAATGCGGATAAGGTCTACCGCTAGAAGGTAATTTAATCTTGAAGCTTTATCACTGAGAGTAAAAATGTAGTACACAATACCCCACCTAATTTTTCGATCATTAAGTAGAAATAAGTAGTTGCACAGACAAAAAAACCATTAAAGAATAATGTAAATATAAGATTATTTAGATCTCCTGATCCCTGCAATATATAAATAATTACTAGCGATACATTCTAATAATTATCAAAACTGTAAATTGATCTCCTTAAACAATATTTTAAATGACAAATTAAACCCACTTGAAGCTGTTCACTCAGCAATGAATAAGAATGTTTTATGTAATTCTATAAAATAAGAGTGTATACACTGAATATAAAACAAGCAAATTTAATAACCATTGGTAAATTTTTCAGTACTTGATTTCTAATTAAGCCTAAGTACACAAACCATTTTAACCATTTTTTTTGCAGAGAATACTTGTGATTTCACTATATATGAGTGTCAATCGGACGGTGGGCATAGAGAGATCAAAGCGGCAACTGGGATATCATGTGGTGAAAACATGGTGATAGAGGGGTTTCATGAACTCATCCGTAATATAACAGGTGACGCAGTCTTTCAGAAATGGAATGATGAATATGCATATGATCGACTTGCTTTGCAAAGAAATATTGAAGAAAAACTAGGATTAATCAAACATAATAGAGATGGATTTGAAACATTCAAAGTTCCATGTTCAATAAATAAAGTTTTCCGAGAAATAAATCATGAAGATATAGGACAGGCTACCGAGAGATCACGATTTAATGGTAACATTAAGTGGATTGATGATAAATTAAGAATAGACGGAGAGACTGTCAAAAGTCTGTTCACACCTTGCACTGATACGATAGTAGATCATGCTCAATATTTATTGAATGAACCTGGTGTTGAAGGCACGAGCATATTTCTGATGGTTGGCAGGCTTTTTGAGTCTGCAATAGTTGAAGAGGCCATAAAAATTGCCTTCCCCACTGTTAACATCATTTCGGCAGCACAAGACATGGTCGTTTTGAAAGGTGCAGTGATTCATGGTCATCAACATTAGAGTATAGGTTAAACTTCTCTGATTTAACAAACTTACACTTTGTTAAGTATGAATTTCACACTTGTACTGTGACTAGATAAATACTAGATCAAGTATGCTTTCTAGACTTAAATAATACCTGACCAAGAAATATTTATCTAGGATATTTAACGTAGATATTGTGTTTGAGTCGCCCCCTGGGAAAAGATTAATATTTATATTTTGAGGCGGCCCCTCCATTATCAATCATTTAGTTACGTCATGTTTTTAACGTGAACACAACAGATAGATCATCTGCAACAAAGTCTTGTTTACTCTATTTCTACGGACAGATAAGTTATCATGTACTAATATAATATCAGAGTTTTAGATGTAGATTTTACATTATGAATTGATGGCTGTGTCGCTGTAAACAATGTAGATATACAGTATAATGATTCTGATATCTGTGTTTGCTACTTCACTTTACACAAGCTATTTTTAGCTCGACTTTTTTTACAAAAAAATGTAGAGGTAACTATTGCTATAGTCCTGGCGGCGTTGCCGTTGCCGTCCGCAAACGTGTACCAGGATCATATGTTTTTAGCTCTTGGTGTATTGGCTTCATACTTGGCCACAAAAAACCCTTGGGATAAGACCTTTTAGTAGACCACACTAAGCTTGACCTTTACCCATCAAGGTTAAATGTACAAATTTTGCTTGTTCTTGCCATTATTGGCTGTAACTTTGTTATTTTTGAATGGATTGTCTTCAAATTAAACATCATAATCATCAAGAATATCCCTTAAAAATAACTAGGCATACATTGACCTTCACTTACAAATGACCTTGACTTTGAAGGTCAAATTATTGAAATTTTCATTTTTTGGCTATACCTGGCTGTAACTTTGTTATTTTTGAATGGATTGTCTTCAAACTTGAACATAATAATCTTCAATGATAACCGTTAAAGAGTTATTAGACAGACCTTGAACTTCACTCATAAATGACCTTGACTTTGAAGGTCAAATTATTGAATTTTTTATTTTGTGGCTGTAACTTCGCTATAATTTAATGGATCCACTTCATATTATAACAGAACATTTTTAAGGACAAGACCTTCATGTTTATTAAACTCAAATTGACCTGGGTTCTCTAATGACCTTGACCATGAATGTTAAATTACTGAATTTTCACAGATGTGTGCATCAAATGACCATATAAATTACTTTATTGTTGCAATATGTCTCAATTTGTTTACATGATAGTTATTCATATATGTATATTCACTGATTTTATGTAACTTCCTATGTATAGGCGGTTTTATGTTACCCACCTATGTGTGGAGCATGCATTATTTGAAAATGTTCTTTTGATAACTGTTTTCCTATGCATAGGCTGTTTTATTTTACCCACGTATGTTTGGAACCTGCAATATTGAAAATGTTCTTTTGATAACTGTTTTCTTTTATAAAATTTTTAGATAACTTTTTGCACATTTTACTTTTGTCATTTAAGATAAAATGACATTTTCACAATATTTTGTTGGTATTATATATAGTCTCTCACATATAAACTTCACCTCGCAACTGGTTTCTTAGTACTGGAAGGGAAGATTCAAATAATTTTATATATGTCGTTCTAATCTAGTTTCTGAGTTCAAACTTACACAAGTGTATCAAATATTATGTATTGTATAGAATAGGTTACTAAACTCTTACTCAACTAATGATATTTTTTATATGCAAAAGTCTAATATATTAGTCTATTTTTAAGAAACATTATTATTTTTTAATAAATTTAAAGCAAGTGTTTGACCCTGTTTGGAGAAGGTCTATGGTATAAATTACAAGAAAATCGATGTTTTTATTTCATTTATAATTTGTATAGTACTTTAAGTTCAAGGTAGTAACAAGTGAATGTTCCACTAAATTTTTTGATTGTAATGTTCGTGTTTGACAGGTCGAAAATTTGTCGCCGTTTTTGTTAGGTATATTTTGAATGACTTAGAAGACTATTTATGTGATAAAAATGTAAATAAATTTTGTAGAAATTGAAAGGTGAAAGACTTGCAAATGAACTTAAATATATTTCTTCTTTTATATGCAGATGATACTGCAATGTTTGCAGAATCTAAATAAAGATTTACAAAATGCATTAGATACATAATGTATCTAATGTATCTAATTTGTAAATTTAACCTTGAAGGATAAAGGTTAAGCTTAGTGTGGTCTATTAAAAGGTCATATTGTAATTAGTGGGTATTAAAAATAAATGTTGATAAAACAAATTACTTATATTTAGTTAAGGTAACATAAGACGAAATTTTACATTCTATATTGGCGATAGCCAGGTAAAAATTAATAAAGAATACAAGTACCTTGGTATTTACTTAAATTGGGTTGTTTACTTCAACGAAGAACTACATAGTAGACCAAGGAAATAAAGCATTGTTTTCACTTTTGAAAAGAAATTAAAAATTAAATTTACCATACGAATAACAGATTGATCTTTTTTGACAAAATGGTAAAACAAATTTTACTTTTGGATGTGAAATTTGGGGGTTTGGAATTATATAATTTATTTAAAAAAAAACAATCAATGAAAGTTTTACAAATACATTTTGAACTTAAGAGATCAGCAACTTCATATATGGTATATGGTGAACTTGGAATTTTTCCAGTCCGTTATCACACAGTTATATCATTTTTTGGACGAAACTGATAAATTGTTATACAGAAAATATCGACAAACTATAATTGTGATAAAGTTAACAGCATGATACATGATAACTTCTTTAAAAAGAAAATGTTTCCTTTAAACTCAATATGTGGGTGAAAAATTTCATTATTTGTTCATATGTCTAAAGCTTTTCGATGGAAGAAAAAACATTTTAAAAATTTCTATGTTAACCTCATTTGTTTCAAATCGGAAGAATTGCTTACTTTTCAAGATATTTTTTACAAAACACGTTAACTTGGTAGTTTTTATCAAATTTATATCTAAAAACATGTAACACTGATATGCATTGATTGCTCGTTTACTTGAAAAAATGTTTATTAGCTATACATATGTTTATTTTTACTTTACATGTTTTATTTGGATATGTTCGCCATTCTCGATTTTCCTAGAACTAGTTAACTTAATATGCCGCCATTATTCATGTTAATTATTATTAGATAATGCTAATGTTGTTAACTTGATGTTAACCTAAGATGGAAAAAAGTTTGAAGACTAGAAAATATGTGTAATAGATAGTCAAATCATATCTTTTTCTCAAAACAACACATCCATTATTGTGATAAATAAATTCATTAAGTATAATTAGATAAAAATGAAAGAAAAGGAAGGAAAGGAAAATAAGATTCAAACAATATATGAAGTTCGGAAAAAAGGAAAACTTTATTTTATAAATCAAAACAAAACAAAAATAAGATACATTATTATGTAGAAATAGTCCATTGATTGTGTGTGCCATATTTATATTAAATAAAAAATATAATCTTTTTTTTAAAGTTGAATACACTTTGAACTGAGAATGATCTCGTGAATTTAATGTTGATTAAAGAGATAGAAATATTTAATGTTTGGTGTATAAGCCTGCAGGGGTTCCGGCCAGATTCCTACAAACATCAAAGAATTATGACATGCCGTTCAACATATTTCATTTCACACTAGAATTAAACAAAAACATATGTATCCTGAAAACTCCATGCCGAAAAATATTTTAAACTAGCTACAGGGTAGCTAGTAATGAATAAGATACAATGTGAAGGCAAATGAATGTAGCAACATGGATTATAACGCTGAAGTTAAATATACATTACGTGCGAATAAAATTCATACAATTTCCTAAAATAATCAAAAATGATGCATTGTATTTTTATGTAAGAAAATAATTATGTGTAACTAATTATTTTCGTTTTCTCTGTCAATGCAAGTGCTCTTTAACTTAAAGATGTGTAAATAAGTAAGACAATAATCTTATTCCTCTTTAATCTTCGCTGTAAAAATCTTGAAAAATTGTTAAAGTATGTCATGATTTGATTTTGCTTTAGTGTGTTTTTAACGCTGAATTCTAACGTTTAAGTCTCTGATTTCAACGGTCCATCTTCCTAATCCACTTTCCTTGCAAACGAACTTCACCGTAGGGATCTTGTTTCCGGTTACAGTATAGAATTGTCAAGATTTTTATACGCCCGTTTGAAAAACCGGACGTATTTTAGCCGCCCCCCCCCCACCCTTTCGAAAATTTGTCCGGAGCATATCTCCTACAAGCATAGGGCAATTTTTATTGAAACTTCATAGAACATGTTCACCACTGTGAGAAGCCGTGTCGTGCGCAAAAGTCACGTCTTCAGGTAAAAGGTCAAAGTCACACTTAAAGGTCATTGAAAAACACCTGTCTGAAGCAAAACTTCTACATGCATACATATATTCAATATAACTTTGTACAAATGTTAACGATTGTGAGGCGGAAATCCTCGACCAAACTTTAAATCCCTGCGATCACGGTTAATGTCACACATAGGGGTCAAAGTTCTTATAAAAATATGAAAATGTATATTTGGACCCTTAAATAATCATTGATTGAGGAATTTATACACAAATGGTCGTTATCCTAACAACTGATGTGGAACATGTTATTTAGGTTAATATATGTTAGGTCAATGTAACTAAAATTGATGAATGTTATGTACATAGGCTTTATTTTAAAGGTGTTAAGTATCTGTTTCCTGATTAGCTCAGTACGTAGAGCGCAGGACTAATAATCGCAATCTCGTGGGTTTCATTATTATTTTTGATAATTTTATTTTGTTTATATAATTGTTCATGTTCATTCATCTTCTTTCAAGAAAGTTCTCTTCATGTTCATTTTATAATATTCTTTGTCTAAGTAGTTAAGTATTGTTCATTTATATTATATATATGATGAATGTTTGTACTTCGAGGTGTGTGCTAATTTGTGATATTATGTTTTATATCCTGATGGTGTGCTATTAGGAATTTATTAGTTTGAATTCAGTTATTCTGTGTGGGAA